CGGGAGAGTGAGGCCTCACGGCTGCAGGAGCAGCTGGCTCAGGAGCGCGCCGAACTGGAGCAGCAGCGCCGGGCCTACCAACATGACCTGGAACGGCTGCGCGAGGCCCAGCGTGCCGTGGAGCGTGAACGGGAGCGGCTGGAGCAGCGGGAGCAGCTGCGGAGGCTCAAGAAGCAGAACACAGCTCCTGGGATGCTGCTGCCTGAGCTGCCCGCAGAGGTGAGCAGGGCAGGGTGCAGCCTGCAGGTGCCTTGTGGGTGCATGTGTTTGAGTGTGCCAGTGGAAGAGGGAATGTGTTAGTGTAACCAGCAAGTACACGCTGTAGGGGAGTGCGGGGGGGGGGGGGGGCAGCAGGGCAGAAATAGGCAGTAAATGGCATCCCCGAGGGTCCCAGCACAGGGCTCTGCTCCCAAATCAGACCCTCCCAGCTGAGAGGCTGAGACTGTGGGCTGGGGCGGGGGTGGGGGGACAAGGCCCTGCCAGCCCAAGCCCTGTGCAGAGGGTGGTATTGAGAAGAGCACCTCCCTGTCGGCCCCAGGGAGGGCTTCCAGGAGGAACACGTGTCTTCTGTCGTTCTCTCAGGTCCAGCCCCTAGGCCACCCCACCAGCTCCAACGGGGAGGGGCTGGAAGGGCCTGAGCGCCCTGAGGTGGCTCGCAAGGACAGTGCCCCAGCTGAGAGCCGCCTGGCCAAGAGTGACGTGCCCATCCAGCTGCTCAGCGCCACCAACCAAATCCAGAGGCAGGCAGCAGTGCAGCAGCAGATCCCCACCAAGCTGGCCGCCTCCTCCAAGGGCGGCAAGGACAAGGGCGGCAAGAGCCGGGGCTCCCAGCGCAGTGAGAGCTCAGGTGACCTCTCGGCTCTGGGCGGGGTGGGTGGGGCCAGTGATCTGATCTCTGGGAGGTGGGCAACCTCTGGTGCCTCCCCTGCACTTCAGCCTGGCCTGGGAGGTTTGTGACACCAGAACAGCTCCTTGCGGGTGAACAGCAATGCACCCCAGGGCCATCCTCCTGCAGAGATGCTGGGAGGAAACAAGAGGGCACGGCTGGCAACATGGCTGAGCCCCTGCACCCCACCAGAAGGTTTCTCATCTCAAGAAGCACAATTGATGTGACAAAGCCCAGGTCCTTTCTCCTCTCAGTCCTCAGTGAAACGGGCGAGGGAGTCTCCTGTCTGCTCAGAAAGATGGGGCCTGGGCGGCCCTTGTGGAGGGGTCACCAGAGGCCAGACGTCAGAGTGCCTTGCTCATTCTGGGACGACACTGTGACTGACACTGCCACCTCCTGCCAGCCCCACCTGGTGCCAGTCTGGGTGCCAGGGGCCCTACCCAGTGTCCTTGCACTGAGGGGGTGCTGGGCCCTTAGAGCATTCTGCGCAAGTGGCGTTTCCCCGAGAAGCTCTGGGCACCTTTGGGTGCTGGGAGTGTGCAGGCACTGGGCAGGGGCTCTCCCTGCAATACTCCTGCGCGGCAGGGCCTGTGTGCAGCACAACCGGGTCAGGAGGCTGGCTCTCCAGGAGCTCCCTGGGGTCAGTCGGGGGCTGTCCCGTGTCTACGTCACCACATTGGGGCTTACAACCTCCGTGGGGTTCATCTCCCGGACAGGCACTGTGGGAAGTGCTCAGGAGTGGGGTGAGCTGTGGGTGGGGGGCTGCTGTGAGCCTGGAGCCAGCAGTCTCACGCAAGCCAGGCTGAGCCCTCTTCCCTCTGCCAGCCTCGTTCGACCTGAAGCAGCAGCTGCTCTTCAGCAAGCTTGTGGGCAAGGACGAGAGCGCCTCGAGGGGCCACCGCTCACTGAGCCCCGTCCAGCTTGGAAGCCACAGCTCCGCAGCCCACACAGGTGAGCCCAGCCACCCAGGTAGTGGGGCGACCCACAGTGCCAGAGCTGCTGACGCCCCACACCCCTGTCTTCCAGACCTTTCCCGCCAGGCCCCAAGCCCAGCACCAGCCGACACATCCCCTGAGCACTTCTTCTCGCCCACGCCACTGCCCCTCACACCTGTCAGCAAGGAAGACATCAACAAGGAAGATGTCATCTTCTTCTAGTGGGGTATGGCTCGAGGCGCAGAGCCCTCCCCATCCTGCCCCCACCCCGCTGTGCTCTCTGGGGGGTCACCAGCTGTCCCTCCTGACTGCCCATCACACCACCACAACACCAGGCCTGGCCAGGCTTGGGGTCAGGGGCCATCTGTCGTCTCCAGGCTCTTTGCAGATCTGTGGTGCCTGGGTGGCTGTCCCAACCTCTGCTTATGCATAAAGGAATGCACTTTGATGGAAGGTTGGACCAGAGCTGACCCAAAGAACTGGCTCAGACCCTAGCACCCGCTTTGGGAGGGAGAGAGCAACGCCAGGGGAGCAGCACACAGACAGGTGGTTCACTTGGAGCCTGACAGGCCCTGAGGAGGGGCAGGGCAGGGTCAGCTGTGCCCCAGCAGAACCAGAGCGGAGACTGCACTGGTCCGTGGGGAACCTCAGGGCCGTGGTGTGGGCAAGACGAGGGCCACACACAGCCCAGCACAGACAGAGGGCCACAGGGCAGAGTGGCTGGAAAGGGTGGCCAGTGGCACTCAAGGTGAGTTCTTTTAGAGTCAGACACTCGTCTTGAGAGGGTCTGGCTATAACTCATCTTAATTTGGTAGAGGTTTTTAAAATCTGTCAAACTTGGTGCTTGCCTGAGATGCCTTGCCAGAGCCAGCGTGGCACTCCAGGTGCTCAGCCTGTGGGGGCACGGGCGCGCACACCTGGAAGCCCCGCCCCAGGCACGGGGTCTCAGTCCTCTGGACATGGGCTGGTGTTCCCAGGGCCTCTAGGAGGAAGCCCCCGGGGCTGTGCCCCGTGCCCACGCTCAGAAGCCACCATGACACAGAGCAGCGGGCAGTGCCACAGCAGTGGGGGAGACGCTGGAGCGATCACACCTGTTCTGGAGACCTCACGTGGACCGGTGGCTGCCTCCCAGGCACTGCACATCCAGCCGCACAGTCGTAGGTGTCAACACCGTGCCAGTGTCTGCGGCTGGAGACTGGGTCTGGCCCGTGTTCCACTTCAGGCCAAACGCAAGCTCGGGTGCTGTGCTGGAGCAGGAAAGGGGACATCATAGCCTTTTCTGCACCCCACCCCCTCAACTGGGCCCGGGACCTCCCGGGAGCGGCACTACCACCGCGTCACTGTGACACGGCCAGTCGAGGAGGAACTGAAAGCCGCGGTTGGCAGCAGTCCTGAGCACAGCCCCAACGGCCCCTTGGAGAACCTCCCCCTGCGGACTTTGCCTTGGGGCCAGCGGCGTTGGGCAGTGTCGGCAAGGAGCGAGGAGTAGAGTCTCCCCCGCCCCGACACTGCCAGCACCTTCCTGTGCCATGTCTGTGGTCAGTGTTGTGTGTGTGCTGAGACCAATCAGCACTTTAGAAAATCCAACGTCCCTTCCTGCCCTTGTGTGAAAAGAACGTCCCTGGGCTTCACAGACACCAGGGCTCCAGCTCCTGGGAGAGGAAGTCCAAAGGTTTCCTCATGGGCATGTTGCAGGAAGGGATGTGTCCTGCCTCGGCCAAGGGCTGCCCAGTTGTGCCATGCAGTGGGACGGGCCGGGGGCACCTGTGACAGTCGTGGCCAAGCGGGTGCTGCACCCTGTGGGGTCTGCACAGCCCCACAGCTGCTTGCTCTCAGCCCAGCGACTGTGATGGTGACTGGCATTTCCTCATGCGGGATGTCTCAGAGCCGCCTTGGAACTCAAGACCCAATTCTAGCAATAAAAGTGTCTTACGATGAGCTGACAAGAGTGGCGCTGCCTTAGGGTCTGTTATAGGATCTGGCTGAGCATCAGTGCCGTGTAGGCAGACGGGGCCCCTACTACCATCTGCTGCGGCAGGAACTTGGATGCCTGGACACCAGGTCCAGAGCCTTGAGGGAGCCCAAGAGCTGGGATGTGGTGTCACCCCACGGCTGCCTATCAGCACTCATGCCCTGAAGCTGGGATGGAGAATGCAGGCAGTGGGAACACCTTCCAGGTAAGCAGCGGGCCTTGGCACCAGCTGTGCCGAGGGAGGGGTCTGCAGGAAAAGCCTGGGCCTATCAGCCTGCTCTGCTGCCTGCTGAGGGGTCTCCAGATGACCATCTCGCCTACCCCTTCAAAGCTAGAGGCAGCAGCCCCAAGCAAGGTCAGCTTTGGGGAATGTCACTGAGCTGTGCCACCCTGGTGGGGCCCCTCCCACCTAGGCCTGTCCTGATGGCCCTGAGATGTCAGTCTCTGCTCCCCAAGCTAAGTTTGCTACACGGGCTCCTTCTAGAACCAGCCATCCCACCTCAACCCCTGGGACCTGGCCGTGCCCAGCCCACAGGGCTGCTGCACAAACAGATATCTCCCCAAGTCCCCAGACAGGCGGGTGCTGCTCGGACCCCCACCCTAATCTCTCCGGTGTGCTGTGTGCTGGACACACCACTGTGCCCAGTTTCCACAGCTTAGAGAGGAAGGCCAGCCTAGCCGGGCCCAGTCCCCTAGTCCAAAGGGAGCTTGACCCAAGGGCAGGGTAGGCTTACTCCTGTACCCACGTGCCTGGGAGGCCCTCCACCCCCACTGCTCCCAGCCACTCACCCACCCTGTTGGAGAGCAGTCTGGCTGGCTGCAGGCAGAGGTCTCGAGTCAGGTCTTCTGGGTGCTTGGGGGACAAGAGGTTGTGCCCAACTCCCTTCCCCCAGGGACCGGGGAGTAGAGGGCCCAAAGACACCTCAACAGGCGGATGTGGGCTGCCGCCCTCTACAGACGCCAAATGCAGGCAGCAGCTCACATGACAAAACCAGGGCGCCCACCCTGCCACCACCCTGAGGTGGAGACTGGCCCACACTGCTCGCCCGGCTGGGAACCCATGGAACGTTCCAGCTGGCCCTGAGCGGACAAGGCCCTCCTCCAAGCTGTAGCTGAGTGTCTGCTGCTTCAGCCACAGCAGGCCTCTCAGGACACCCAGGAGGGAAAGGGCGTGGTGTGGGCTGGCCCTGGCAGGCTGTGGCCCCAGCACAGGTGGGTGTGCAAGTGACAACAGGAGTAGCCAGTCCTTGTGGGAGAGGGCTGCTCAGGAGCAGCAGGCTGTGCTGGCTGAGTCTGAGAGGACCCACCAGCTGGAGGTAGCTCGGGACATGTGGGTGCCCACCAGCCACCATACCCAGAGGTGGCCCCTGCACGCCCTCCCTCAAATAAGGCACAGGTGCCCCCCAGCAGGGAGAGGAGGCATGGAAGTGAGCAGACCTGTGGATGGACAGGGCCAGAAGCTGGTGAGTCTAGGAGGAAGGACCCGCCAGCCCCAGCACCACACTGTCAAGTAATTCTCAATTTGGTCCTGGCCCCTGCTTGTCTTTATTTGAATGCAGAATGCAGGGATGGAAGCAAGGGTCTGCTGAGGCCCACTGTGGCCTTGTCCCCTGCATGGGAGCCCCTGGGTCCTCTGCTCTGGCCCTGAGACACACCTCCACAAGAGGCCAGGCCTGGGTGGAAAGGACCAGGCCCCTAGCACCTGAGGAACCTCACCTTCGGTCCATATCCTGCCCCACTGTGGGCATGTACCCCCTGGGCTGCTCCCTATTTTCTGGGTGGCATCTCCCCACACCTGGCCTTGGTTTGCTCAGTTACAGACTCAGCCCCTAGCCCCAGCCTGGGTGATTGCTCTGTGGGAAAGGCCCCTCCATCAAGGTTCCAGCTGTGTCCACACGTCCCCAGGCCATGTCAGGAGTTGGCGGTGTCAGCGCAGCCACTGGCCCAGATGGCCTGGTACATGCTGAGGAGGGAGGAGATGGTGCCCAGAAGGCCCACCAGCCACGGGGGGAAGCGGCCTGCCCACAGGACACCTGGGGGCAGCCAGTGCACGGCGTTGGCCAGGTCAGCCAGGTTGCTCAGGACAGTCAGCAGCTCGGACTGCATCTGGGCCCGCATGGCCCTCCGCTGGCTCCGGGGCAGCTGGCTGTGGGGTCAAAAAGGAGTCCTTCAGGGACAGTGCCCATGTCTCTGCAACGGGCAGAGAAGAAGTGACCACAGACCCTGCCTGTGAGCCAGGAGGAGGCCCTAGAGGGAGCCCAGCCCTGCATGGAGTCTCGAGTCCACACCTCAGTCCTCCCAACTGCCCAAAACCAGGAGGTGGGGTGGGGGCGGGTTTTGGGCAGGTTCCAAGCACAGCTCTTTCCCTGCTGGGACAGTGAACAGCGGCCGTGGTCCTCCACTGGGCGCATGGCTAGGCAGGCTCGGCCCTCAGTCCTGGCTCTGCCATCTCCTGCCAACAGGGCCTCGAGCGAGCCTCATTTTCCCACGTGTAAGAGTCCTGCTGTCCACTGGAGGCTACGGGGAGGCTGGTGACAACCACATCCCAGCCTGGGCCCCGCACAGGTGTGGTGCTGACAACTGCTAGAGACTCAGTACCCCCTCCCGGGGCTGGGAACCCCCGGGACCTGGGGGAGGGAAAGTCGGCTTTTCTCCTGGATGAAGTACCTGGTGAAGGCTGGAGAGGGGCTCCTCAGCCGCTGTCTCAGCTTCAGGACCATCCACAGGGACCTGTAACACCCGACAAGAGTGGGAGCATGCCCCGCCAGTGCAGCCAGTGGAGCAGGGGCGGGCGCAGGGGTTCAGTCCCCGGCATGCCCAGGGGAGGCTCTGCACCCGCCTCCTGCCATGGCAGCCACAGGTGACCGCTCTGAGCTCTGCAGTAAGTGGCCCCAGACAACCTGTCTGGGGTGAGTCTGACACACTCTGGACTCCAAGGGCTCCCGCGCCCTACAGCTTACCCACCCAGGCCGCTGTGACTGGCCCCTGCACCCTGCAGCCTGGGCCGGGGGCAGGAGGGAGAGTGGACATGCTGAGTCCTGCCAGTTGGAGGGCGGAGTCCAACAAGACCTCAGGACTGGGAGGTCCAGGGCCTGGTCACATCTCCCTGGCAAACATAAGCCCATCCAGGTGCCATGTCCCCAGAGATTATGGGACCCAGGGCAGCACCTACAGTGAGGTAAGTGGGTCTGCATCAGAGCCACCTCGGGCACTGAGACAAAACCCAGGTCTGGGTCCTGGGTCCCCAGACCAGTGACATTAGGACCTCTGGGCCCCGGTCTCCAGGCACCTGCATTTTGATGACCTTCCAGGGAACTTGGTGGCACCAGGGACCTAGACGACGTGCAGCCGTGAGGAGCACACAGGCTCCACACACTCACACCCCCACCGACAGCACAGAGAGCCACACGCTCTGAAGAGGAGCAGTAGTAGGGCGGGCACAGCCAGTTCCAGGCAGTGACACCACCCCGTGTGATCCGGCAGTGGCCAGTATGCGTCACGCTATGTTTGTCCAAACCCAAGGGATGTGCAACAGAGCGGCCCCGAATGCAGCCCACGGACTTGCGGTGATGCTGACACGACCGTGTGGGTTCGCAGATCGCAACAAAGCCCTGCTCTCAGGCCACAATGATAGCGCATGCGTGGGGCGGGGGTGCTCTCTCCTCCAGCTCAGCCTTGCTGTGAGCCTACAACGGCTCTGAAATAAAAGTCTGTTTTCTAAAATGGACGGGATCAAGGCTGCCCCTGCAACAGGAATGGTGGCTGTCCTGGCACCAGAGGTCACAAGGACCCCTGGGAGCTGCAGCCTCGGGACATCCAGCCCAGGCTCCAGTCAGAGTCCCCAAGGACATCGGAAGGTCACCAGACACTGACTGTGACCTCCCGGGGAGATCAAACCAAGAAGCCCTGTCCATGAAACAAGGAGACCAGAGCAAGTAGCACAGTGTCCTCACAGGGTGAGGTCACAGGCTGGAAGGGTCGTCGAGTATAAACGGCATCTCTGGCTCGTAGGCAACATGAATTTCTACTTTGGGTGTGTTCACTCCCCACTGTCTGTGATGAGCATGCCCATATCATCGAGACGGCTGTAACAGGGAAAGCAAGGACTCCTGAATGTCACTGTCTAGCCCAGGGACAAGAGGCAGCAGGAGTGGGCACTGCCCACCTCCACCCCACCCCAGGGTCAGGGGTCACCCGCCTCCCTTCAGAGATCCAAGGGAACTTCGCTGCATGAAATTCTGCCACAGGGCAGAAGGCCCTCCACCCCTGTGCTTTCTGGGGCAGGGGACTCTGAACTGATCCACTTGGCAAACTTGCAGACAGGAAAACGTTTGGGCGGAAACCATCAGTTTAAAGTTCCAGACACCTTACAGTTTTGGGAAGCATACAGCCAGCCAGGAAGCTCCTGGCAGCTTTATCTGGGGTGTTTGCTGATGACATGCAAGCAGGACTCAGAGGCCCGGGTGACGGTGGGCACACCAGCTGCTTCTGTGCAGCCACCAAGGCACTGCTTCTTCCTGGCGGGCACAGTCACGCCCCCAGGGTGCCCACATCCTACTCCCCAGGCCCTGTGAGTGTGTTCCCTTGTGCGGCAAAAAGGACTCTGCAGGTGAAACTGAGTTAAGGGTCTTAAGACAGGAGATGACCTTGGTGGGCCCAGTGTCGTCACGAGGGTCCTCATGGGAGAGAGGCAGGAGGGTCAGGGTCAGAGGAGGAGATGCAACAGAAGCACAGGTTGCAGTGATGTGCTTTCAAGACAGAGGACAGCGCCCCGAGCTCAGGGACATGGGAAGGAGCCCCAGAAGCTGGAAAAGGCAGCACACACTCTCCCCTGGAGCCTCCGAAAAGGACACAGCCCTGCACGCACCTCAACTGCCGCCAGTGCAGTTCATTTGGACTTCGACCTCCAGACTGTGAGGTAATCAGTCTGTGTCATTTAAAGCCAAGTGTGTGGTGACGTGATAGGGTCACCTGCAGGGAGGTGGTCACACAGGAGGAAAAGCAGGGACGCACCCAACTGTAGCCTGTCCACCCCTGGGACCAGAGACCACAGTGCACCCTTCCGCCTGCAGGGGGCCGCCACAGGGCTCACCTGGCAATCCCCAGCAGCAGGGAGAGGCCCCAGAAGGCCGTGCTCAGCACCCACCACCGGGCAGAGTCCACAGGGAGGATCTTGGTGTCAGCGGCCCAGGCGATGTGCTCACAGGGGTAGTACAGCTGGTCAGCCAGGTTGCCCAGGACAGACAAACAGCGAACCAAGATGTCTTCCTCCTACAGGACCAGGAAAGACAGGATGATGCACCTGGGGGCAGACCCACCCACTGCCCACATTTGGGACCCAGGCTACAACAAAAAAACTTAAAAAAAAATTTCCTCTATTTGTTTCAGTTCCCAGATAATTCATGCATACCACGACTTGGGACACCCTGCCTAAGAGCCTTGCTGACCTGCCACAGGCTTCCAGGCCCCGCCCAGGGGTCTCCAGGCCAGGCCCTCTGGTGCAGGACCCAGACGGAAGCAGGGCAGGACACCCACAGAGCAGCCCGATGGGGCAGAGCTGAGTGGGGCAGAAACACCGGCTACATGAATCACCTCACCCAAACCAGAAGCAGGTGGTCGCCACCCTGGCAAACAGGCAAACTGAGGTGCTGAGGGCGATGCCACCTGCCCCATTGAACAGCAGAACCCCCACCCTCCAACCCTAAGTTCTGAACCACACCCCCTGCACCCAGCTAGGCAGGCCCAAAGGAGGCTGCAGAATCCTGGTCCCTGGGGCTGCATTCCCCACCCACCCCCTCATGGCCACGCCCCTCCGGGCCTTCAATCAGGCGCAGCCCCAGAGCTGTGCAGGGAGAAGATGCTCACCAGGGCAGGGAGACCAAGACACAGAAACACAGGACCAACAAAAGGGGCTCTTGTTTTGGTCAAGGGGTATACAAAGAGCAGGCCCCCGATCCCTTGCCTGGGACTCAGGGGAGTCTTCGAAGAGGAGACATTTGGGGTGGGGGCCCTGCAAGGATGCACGAGAAGTATGCCCTGACCAAGTGAGAGGATAGGAGGTGGGTGTCAAACCAGGAGGAAGATCCAGGGAAACACTCGGATTTGGGATGATCAGGCCATGGGCGCGGTGGGGCAACGGGCGCCTGAGCAGCCAGTGGCTCAGAGAGGGCACCCCTGGGATGCCCCACAAGGGACAAATCTGCCCCCCTAAAAGGAGCATGGATCTACTGGCACTCCTGTGGAGTGAGGCAGTACTGCTTCACCAGCAAATATTACGAACAGCTTACATGTGCGTCAGCGGGGGTGGTGGGATGGGGGGCGGGTGGCGAACTGATCAGCCCCGCCATCGAGAAGGAGGGACTGTTCCGGACTGACTCGGACTGTCTCCGAGTTATACTGTTGAGTGAAAAAAGCAAGTGGCCAGAGAGTGCCCGTGGCACAACTATTTACATTTTTTTTTTAAGTGTATTTGCCGTGAAGGTACAGGACTGTTTGGGAAGGAAACTGATGACAGTGGCTGCCTCTGAGGAGGAAAACTGGGGGCTGGGGCATCAGGAAAAAGAGAACTTTTTAATAATAGTCTTAAAGAATATGTGAACGTATTAGCTTTTTTTTTAATTAAGTTAAAATAAGAACATCTTATTGCAAAAAAGAAAGTAAAATTGAAAGAATACACCCTGGCTGCTGTGGATCATTGGACTGAGCGCTATCCTGCGGACCAAAAGGTCGCTGGTTTGATTCCCAGTCAGGGTACATGCCTGGGTTGTGGGCTGGGTCCCCATTAGGGGGTGTTTGAGAGGCGACCAGGCAACCAGTGTTTCTCTCCCTTTCTTTCTCCCATCCCCCTCTCTAAAAATAAATAAAATATTTTTTTAAAAAGAAACAAGAAACTGCCCATGCCATGGCCAGCGGACAAGCCCCTACAGCCCAGTGCCCCGTTACCTCGGCCCCCAGGCCATACTGCCTGGTGCACAGGAACATGGCCAGGTCATCGAAGAGCCGAAGGATGGTCCTACAGTGGCTGAGCTGGGAGGACAGTACCAGCAGGCGTGTCCCCACTTCTGACCTGGCCGGACAGTGTCCCACAAGGACCCCACCAACCAGCTGGCAGCTGTACCCCAGGGTCCGGATCTGTGGGAAAGCAGAGACTGTCAGCATGGCTGGGCTCCCAGACTAGCCCTGACCACCTACCTGGGCATGGGCCCAGGGGGTGAGCAGGTGGAAGAGTCTAAATCAACAACATTTTAATGAAAGCTTTTTAAGTTTAAAAAGAAACATGTAGGACGAACGGAAAAATAGGACGTCATTGTCCAAAGGCACTGTGGACACTCTAATGACGTGCTGGCACCTGTCACCGAGGGGCACAGCCTCTGGAGGCAGATGTGATGTGATGGAGATGTGAAAAGGAAACCCCATTTCCCACCTCCTGAGTCCTCCTTTTCTGGGCTGGCAAGAGGACCAGACAGAAATGTATGTTTGCATCTACTGGGCTGGGGAGCTGGCACATGATCTAGCTTCAGCCCAGTGGACAAAGGATCATTTGCTTAAGTCGTTTTAATGAGAAGGAACCTTAGTGGGTAACTTCTGTATTGCAAACTGGGTCAGCTTCACTGCCCTTCTATCTTAATTTCCTCTCCTTTTCAGAAATTGCTTTTTCCTGGTTTTTCTTTTCTTTTTTCTTCATACTATTTTTACTCGTAATTCCTGTTCCACCCCTTTAGAACAGCAAAACATTGCGATTTAAACGTGTACCTTGGCGACTTGGCGGGGGTGGGGCATTAAAACCAGAACGCCTAGGTTGGAACCTAACTGTCCAGCCAGCAGTACATACCCTGATACAAACTAAATGCCTGTGTTAGGGACTGGTTAGGAGGAGCTGAGAGTCCATCTTGCAGGGAACCACCTAAATGCCCAGCCAGAGGGAATATGGTCAGAAAATGAACATCCGATCATACGGGAAAGCCCTGCAAAACCCTAAGTCCCAGTGAGACTGTTCAGGATAACCCAGGGACCAACTGCAGTGGCCTAATCAGACACTGAGTGCCCACTTGGGGATCCGGTCGGCATGTAAATGTCCAGCCAGACTGAGTTGTTGGAAACATAAATGCCCAACTACAGGGGATTTGGTTGCAATCTAAACATCCAGCCAGAAGGTGTGGCCCGCAACATCCTAAATCTTCACGAGACTGTTTGGGCAACCCCGTGCCCTGTTTCAGAAGTCTGGTCGGATCCCGGAAGTCCAAACGTGAGGGCTGGTTGATGCCACTGTGAATGCTGGCCGGCACAACCTGAATGTCCACCGCTAGGGGACCGGGTTGGAGCCAGCTTGGCCGGGGCCTCTGCCATGGGGGAGCCTAAGCGACCCCAACCCCTCTCTGGCCTTGGTTTCCCAGTGTCTGGGCTTTGGCCCGATTCAGGGACCTCGGGCGGCGCTCAGCCCCAGCCTCACCAGGCGGTCCCGGCCTCTGTACGACTCCAGCGCAGCGGCCAGACCCGTCAGCCCCGCCATGGCAACTTCGCTGTGACGTCGACGCGCCGCGCAGGGGGGCGAGGCTAGCACGAGGCCACGCCCCTGGGACGTTCTGCGCAGGGCGGCGGCGGTCCTTTGTCCCCCGCCCCCCAGCGTTTCTTTGTCTGCTACAGCTGCGAAGCGCGTGCCCGCGGCCCTGTGCACACTGGACCGCCCTGGTAACCGGCCGCCTCCTGCCTGCGGGAGCGCGCCTGTGACGGCGCCGCCGCAGCTTCTTTTTTCAGTGAACCAATCCACGAAGTTAACCAACCCCTAACTACCCTCCAATATATATATATATATATATATATATATATATATATTCCAAGTAAAATCACCAACCTGTTCGGATTCAAGGAAAGAGGTTTTTGTTTTTCATTTCTGTTTATTGATTTTAGAGAGGGGAAGGGAGAGAAACATCGACTTGTTCCACTTGCTTACCTACTCATTGGTTCCTTCTCATATGTACCCTGACTGGGGACTGAACCCACAACCTTGGCGTCTGGGGAGGACCCTGGAACCAACTGAGTGCCCCGCCAGGGTGGAGACTGATTTCTTTTTAGTTTCTGTTTCACCCTTTCTGCATTTTCTGCCTCTGTATAGTGAACATGTGTAATACATAAGGCATTTTTAGAAAGTTAAGGAAGTGCATAGACTCCTGGAACAGACAAGAACCCGGTCGTGGAGTCACTGCGGAGAGGGGAACTGCTGCTGAGAAGGAAATTAAATTTTCACACTCGTAGCACATTGTAGCCTTCAAATTTTGTGCAATATGCATGTATGGTCTCGTCAAAAAGTCAAGTATGGTTTTTTTTTAAGTTAACACGACCGGTTTACTTTTTTTTAATTGTGGTAAAATTCATCATTTTTAAATGTACTATATTCATGGGTTGTGCAAACATCACTCCAACTTCAAAGCATTGTCATTGCCCTCAAAGGAGCCCCTGTCACTCAGGCAATCACTCTTACTCTTCCCTCCCCAGCTCCTGGCGACTGCCAGCTGTGGTCCTTCTCCGGGTTTTCCTTTTCCGGACATTCCGCATAAGTGGAGTCATGCGGCGCGTGACCGCTTGTGTCAGCCTCCTCTCACTGAGCCGTGTTTTTGAGGTGCAGCCACATCGGAGCTTGTCTCAGTACCTCTACCCATGTGCATGCACCACATTTTGTTATTCGTTAGCTTATGGATGTCGTTTCCAGTTTTTGGCGGTCCCGGAGATGCTGTGGTGAACAGGAGTGTGCACGTGCGAGTCCCTCCTTTCACCGCCTTGGGGTGGAGACCTAAGAGTGGAGTTACTACATCCTATGGTGCCTGTGTGTTTGACTTTTTGAGGAAAAGTCAAAAGACGGTTTTCCACGGTGACTGTACCGTTTTACATTCCCACCAATAATGTACAAATTCTCCCCATTCTTACCAACACATTTTGCTTTTGAAAAATTATTATAGTCATCCTACTGGTGGAGTGGTATCTCACTGTAGTTTTGTTTTGCCTTTTCCTAATAACTAATGACGTTGACTAGTTGCCTTTTGCAAAACATGTCTTCTTGATCTCAGCTCCTATTACTCTGCTCTTCCTGCCTCAGTCACTCCTGCTACACATCCTGCCTCGGGACTTTTGCATTTGCTGTTCCCTCTACGTGGAACTGTCTCCCTCCAGATAGACATTTGGCTCCCTCTCTCACCTCATCCTTATGTTTACTCCAATGTCATCTTCTCATGGGACCTCCCCATCACACTGGAGGAGCACTTGCTATCCACATTTCCTGCTCTTATTATTCTCCTTATCTTGTAACACTATCCAGTGTCACTTTTAATTTTGCAGCTTGATCTCATCTGGTAGTTTGTCTTTTCTCAACACAATGTGAACCACACCAGGGTGGGGACTTTTATCTGTCGTGCTCACAGCTACAGCTGCATAGCCTGACATGAAACGGGTTCTCAGTAAGTGTCACTGCCTGCAGGGCTCAGCTCCTACTCCACCCACACTGTCCCAGGAGACCGTGTCCACTCCTAGGACTTCCCTAGCTACCTCTTCACTGGCCTCTCCCTCTTCTCTCACCAACTCTGACCTGTCTCCTGCTTCCACCTGCCCCCTGGACATTCCCTCACACTCAGCAAGCCCCAGACTGACTGCAGCATCAGTCCCAAACACCTTGCTCTCCCATGTCCCCACCTCAGGGCTGCCCCGCAGCCAGCCAGCCAACCAGCGATTGAAGACCTGGACATCATGCTCACCTCTTTCCCCTCCACACACACTCCGCCTATGTCCCAACAGTCACCAAACTATCCCTTGAATCCTTCCAATTCTTCCCAGCCCATAGCCCCCTTTATAGAGAACCCTAATCTCTCCTACCTGGGCCCCTAGCCCCTGCCACCCCAAGCCTGCCTTCCCCACATCGTCCCAAAGAGATTCTTTAATCCCCGCCTCCAATTGCAGCACTCCTCGATTAAGACTAGGGTGCAGGGGTTTGTGTACCTCCTCCCCTCAACTGGGGACACTATTCCTGACCAGGAAAAAAACCTAAGCCAAGCTCTTGGCCTGAGGAGAGAAAAAGAACTCAGGCCGCAGAGCCTGTGTGAACAGCCAGGTTCCTTTCCTGGAGCCTGGACTGTCCCTGGCCACCTTGTAACAGCCCACTGTGTGCCAGACCCTGCTCTAGGCACCAAGAGCACAGCAGTGAGCCTCGCAGGCACTGTCCAGCCCTCCCAGTGTCCTCCACTATCTAGTTAGAGCTGAACTTGACCTTTGAGGAAGAGACAGGAGCTGGTCGGGTGTTCGCAGCTGGCCTTGCTGTGACTGAGAGCTGGCTTGGCAGTCACAGCAAGGCCTTGGGGTTCTCCTGCTAGACAGAAATGATTTCACAGGATGCCACCCTCAGACAAGGCCACTCGGCAACTGAGGCAGAACAAGACGAAACAACCCACTCGCAGTCTGAGCGCAGGCAGAACGTGCGCACTGTTCAAACCAGAGCAGCAGCCGGACGTTCGCTCTTCCCGGCTGGTCCAAGTCCCTGCTGGTCCAAGTCCCTGCTGCCCCTTTACCCCCACAGCTCCAGTCCCGCTTCACTCCTTGCGTTGAAGGATGAGAAATAAGACCTTCAGTAAAAGAGTTACTTCTCTCCCTTGCTTCTTGCAGCACCCAGGATGCAACTCAGGGGTCTAACCTCCCCCCGCAAGCGCAGGACCAGGCTGAACAGCATCCTGTCTCTGCATCAGCCTGGTGGGCCGAAGCCCTCGGTGGGCTCAGGGCTGGGGAGCAGGTGGTGGCTCAATGGACAAAACAACAACTTGCTTAAAATCAATGAAACGGGGCCCACTCGAAAGTAGCTCCTGAAGGCCTAAAACCCAGCACATGGTGACGGGCAGCAAAACTGTGTCATGGCCATTGAACTTGCTCAGAGACTAGGTCTTGTTCCAAAAATAGAAGAGATGGTGATGACGTGGTGCCACAGAGGTGTAAGCTGGAATGGCAATCACAATGCAACGCAAATGCACCAGTCAAAGCACTAGGTTGTAAACGGTAAACTTCTGTCTTGCATCTCAATTAAAAACAAGAAAGAACCCATTCAGCAGGTGATTGGAGTATCACGAACGAAGACAGGTCAACTACATTTATATCTTCATTGCACGTTTGTCTTCTTTCTCTTTAAAAAATGTTTTACTGTGGCAGAACATACATACACTATACAAAACACACAATTACCATTTTCATCATCTTGCAGTGGCAGCAGAGCATTCACGCTGTCAGGCCAGCATCCCGCCATTCACCTCCAGAACTTTCCTGCCACCCAGGACAAGCCCGAGTCCGACGAGTCCCTTTGCAGCCCCTGAGATGCCTGCAGTTCACCATGGAGTGTGGGCTTCCCGGCTGCAGAGAGCAGCGATCCCGGATGTGTTCCTCCACAGGCGTGTTCCTGATGGGGCTGGAGAGGCGGGCACAGGCATCCGTGAGGGCACAGGGAAGGTCTGTCAGCCCCGGGGCGGCGGGGAGCTGTGCAGTGACTCTGTGAGACCTCCCATCTTGCATGGGGACATTCAGGGAGCTGACGAGGAGGGAAACCCAGGAGCATGGCGACAACAGACACCGGCAGCCCATGGCGTCAGACCCTCGCTTCCGCTTTCCGAAGCCGTCACCACTCCCAGACCTGTTTTCCAGATGACAAAGTGGAGGCGTGGAGAAGCCAAGCCACTTGGAAGGCTCCCCGAGATCCCAGGAGGCAGGATCTTCTGGTCCTGCTCCCCGCTTTTCTCCCAACTGCCCCCAGAGTTGCTGGGGACCATTGTGACAGCATTGTCTGGGGGAGCTATTTGAGTCACAATGGACAGGGCTGGCCTGCCCCCACATTCAGCCTTGGAAGGAGCATGTCAGCACCTTCTGGGAGACTGGGGCCAGGGGGCATCTTGAGGGTTAGCAGCGTGGCTGCCGCGGGCATTTTCGCAGACTCATTAGCTCCCAAGCCTCGGCTGGAGGTATGTACCTACCTTCCCAATCCCTGAGGAGGAAATGGAGGTCACAGGAGCCCAAGGTGACCTGTCTAGTCATTTCTATGGTCAGATTCTTCCCTAAGCCACTTGACACCTTCTCAACTTCAAATATATCGGGTGGCAAAATGATGACTTTTTAAAAGATTTTATTTCTTTATTTTTAGAGAGAGGAGAGGGAAGGAGAAAGAGGAGAGAAACATCAATGTGTGGTTGCCTCTCACACGCCCCCTACTGGGGACCTGGCCCACAACCCAAGCATGTGCCCTGACTGGGAATCAAACCGGTGACCCTTCGGTTTGTGGTCTGGTGCTCAGTCCCCTCAGCCACACCAGCCAAGTCAAAATGATAATTTTTTAAAAAGAGCAACAAACTAGCCCTGGCTGGTGTAGCTCAGTGGATTGAGCTCGGGACTGCGAACAAGACAATCGCGGTTCGATTCCCAGTCAGGGCACATACCTGGGTTGCAGGTCAGTTTCCAGCAGGGGATGCACAAAAGGCAACCATACATTGATGTTTCTCTCCCT